TCTCAAATTCTCCAGCATCTGCAGTTCCTACTATCTCTGAAACAATTTTAACCCCACTGCAAAGCCTCTTCTAAGGATGCCTACCCTGAAGAAGTTACCCTCCTCCCTCCGGAACTGTCTCCTCTCCACCTATCTTCTCCCCGCCTCCCCCTCTGTCCCTATTTATTTCAGAACCTCCCTCATTTCTGAAGAAGGGTCTAGGCCCGAAACGTCAGCCTTCCTGCTCCTCTGATGCTGCTTGGCCTGCTGTGTTCATCCAGCTGTACACCTTGACCAAAAGAGAGTTTTGTTTCATAAATTATAAAGAGGCTTGATAACATAGACATGTTCCCATTTGTTCCAGAGTCCAAAATTAGGGGCCACAAATTCAAACAAGAGCAATTTCAAAGAGGAATTCACAAGTATTTAGAACGTGGAACTCTCTACCACGTGGAGCCACAGCTGAGGCGAATAGCATAGATTCATTTAACAGAAGCTACTTTACTACATGAAGGGGACAGAAATAGAAAGAAGTGCAATTGGAGGAATTACGTTAGGAGTAAACTGTTATAAAGTATAAACACCAGAACAGACCAGCTGCACTGAACGTTCTGTTTCTGTACAGTACAGCAAAATCTGTAAAAAAAATTGCTTATGCCACCATCTAGTGACAAAACTCAGCAACTGCTGGATACTGCTATTCACAAGAGAGAACGATGGGTGGGGGTCAATGGTAATGTTATTGCAACTTTTGTAAAATGTTTATACTTGCAAGAGATTTTTTTGATTTGACAATTTTTTTAAATGATATTCCTTCCATATGTCAGTTTGACTGTGAAGTTTGGCGCTATGGTTCTGTTAGCAATGTTTTGCAGCTAATAATCAGTCCACACTGATCAGGAAAGTAGCAAATGTTTGCGCATATCAGTATATTGTCAATGGAGCTTTTTCAATAGTCATTGCTCTGTATCCATGAGAATTCCATCCCTGAAAAGCCCCGTAAATGATGAATTTGCAATTGCAGAGTTGAATAACTTGTGGTTTTAAAAAAAGTCTGCGTTCCTGGATGCCAAGATTATGATTTTTCACTAATTATTTTTGGGTTAAAATAATAAATGATACTGACATTATGTTAATACTTAAATAGAATATTTATAGAATACAGTAGACCTATTGAGCTAAACTCTCAGTCTACAGCACTAGCTGACATACCACTTTGCAACTTATCCAACAGTTTCACTTTTCCACTAAACTTCATCACCACCTTCTTGCGTTTAGGCACACTCGCAGTTCCACTTTGATTGGGAGCCATCACAATAACACAAAGGGCACAGGGTGAGAGCGAAATATGCACAGCCAACTTCATCAAGACAAAGCAAGAGATGGGTGAGGAAGGAAATGCCAAGAGCATCCAAGCGCAGGTTAAGGGGGAGGGGGTGTGAGAGCCAGTACCCACATTTATCTTTGCATCGGTGCATCTTCTCCAAGACGGTATGGCTGTCCACTGCTCACCGCTTGGGTTGCCTCACAACAGGTCGCTGAGGTGTGATTTTTGCCTGCAGACATTGATTAATTGGTTATTTATTTTTTGGCACAGACAGGCAAATTCGTAAACACTGATTTCGCAGATACATGGGGATGACTGTAAACAGAAATACATGCACTGTTACCTTCTAATCACTGTTTCATAAAGTAATGAATTGCATATTTGAAGTCTGTTTTGAATGCACTTTAGTAATTATTACATCTTGAAATATTCTGAGGAACAGAATAGCAAGCCTGTAAAATGCACTAAGCAAATTCATGCTTGCTCCACTCTGCTTCCAAATGCAGTGACCCATGCTTGAGTATGACCCATTTTATGCAAGAAAGGAAGTCAATGGAAAATCTCTTTAAAACTGGACTTTACATTTTCTATCCACACTAGTTGTTGTTCATTTTGCAGGATAGCATTGAAAACAGAAGAGCATGTCCAACAAAAATTCACAGCCAGCCAGAGAGGCAATTCTTCACAACTGTCAACAAGCTATTTAAAGTGACCTGATATCTGTTATATAAACCTACATAAACCACCTCAATGAGCACCTCACTATATGGCTCTCCTCATAGACCAACTAAACAGACAAAAGAATTTTTCAGTGTGTGTCTCAGTATCACACGACAAGTACACTATTTCCTCAGTCATCAGAAACTTCTGGCAAAGTGTCAGAATTGACACAATCTAATTGCATAATTATCTATAATTTGGTAATAGCAGAGTGAACAAGGCATTTGGTGATAGAAATATTACCAACCTAGAATCTTCATGGTTAAGTTTAATTGCAAGCTTTACACCTAAAATGAACGTTATTCCATCGCGTCATATCAGCTTTACTATTACAGAATCTGTGATCCCTATCCTCCCTGTAGCTGCTGGTTTGAAATGGTTATTTGTCATTTAAAAATTTAAGATTAAAAATGGTTTTTGCCTCAGCTGTAATCCTTAAATTAAATGAATAATTTTAGGAGAGGGATAGTAGGAACTGCAGATGCTGGAAAATCTTAGATAACAAGGTGTAGAGCTGGATGAACACAGCAGGCCAAGCAGCATCAGGTCTAGGCCCGAAACGTCAACCTTCCTGCTCCTATGATGCTGCTTGACCTGCTGTGTTCATCCAGCTCTACACCTTGTTATCTCGAATAATTTTAGTGTTTTAGTTTCCAACAACCTCACTCCACTTGTGAAGTGCCTTGATAGATAGGGATCATAGAAGACTGCAAGCTGGTCATGAGTACTTTTCTGTTCCAGGAAGTGAAGCGTGCTTCCTACCAAACAAACATGGAGCACAGTCAAGTAAACACAAACAACTGTATGGTTGGTATTGATCAGAACGCTTCAGTAGTGCATTCGGGATGTCTTTCAAAGTAATTTTCTGGGCATCTGATCTGACCCCAAGCATAAATACTGAAGCAGATTATCTCACTTTGCAGATTTTCTAACTGGAATCCGCAAGTTAATCTGTTCCTGTCTAATAAGGTTATTCACACAGCACATCACAAGGTATAGCATCTCAAAAGTTACATGCGAATTAAAAAAAAGAGTAGGCCATTTGGTCCCTTGAGCCCCCTCCGAAATTTACTAAATTCATGGCTGCTCTGATTACTCCACATTCCCATCTAACTCTGATAACCGCTCACCCTCTTGCTTATAAAAGAACCTGTCTACCTCTGCCTCAAAAATATCCGAGGACTCTGCTTCCACCCCCTTTTTAAGGAAGAAGGTACCAAAGACTCAAAACCCTCAAGGAGAAAATATTTCTAATCTGTCTTAAATGAGCAAATCCTTAATTTTTAGGACAGTGATCCCTCGTTCTAGATTGTCCCACAACAGGACACATCATTTCCACACCCACTCTGTCCACTCTCAGGATCTTACATGTTTCAAACACTCATTGCCCCTTGCCAACTAGAAAATGACCCACTTTTGCTTAAATTCTTTCCTGTTAGCTAGGTATCTTCCATCCATGCCAATATGATACCTCCATACCATGAACTTTTATTTTCTACAATTAACTTTGATGAGACACCTTATCAAATGCCTTCTGGAAGTGCTATACATCAACCACTGACCTTCATCCACTGCACGTTACTTCCTCGAAGAGGTCCAATAAATTGGTTAAATATGATTTCCCTTTCATATTACCATGTTGACCTTGCCTGATTGTCTTGAACTTTTTTTTTTAAGTTCCTTGCTATATCATATTTAATAATAGTTTCTAACCTCTTCCCTGTAGTAGATGGTAGCAGTTCTATAGTTTCCCACTTTCTGTCTCTTTCCCTTTTGGAATAAGGGAATTATTTTTGCTATTTTACAACATAATGGAACCTTCCCTAAATGTAGGGAATTTCAGAAAACTAGAACCAATGTATCAACTATCTCACCAGTCATTCCTTTTATGACCTTTAGATGAAGTCCATCAGACCCAAGGACTTGTCTACCCACAGCTCCAAATTGGCTCAGTAACATTTCCCTGGTAATTGTAATATTCTCAAGCTCCTCCTACTCTTCTACATACTAGTTTCTGGGATGTTATTTGTATCCTTTATAATGAATACGGATGCAAAATTCATCTCCCATCTTTATACTTCCCATAAATTCTCAAATGCACTTTCTAAACAGACCAATGCTCACTTTGTTAACCCTTTTCCTTTTAAATAGCTGTAGAATCCCTTACTACTCATTTTTATATAGCTTTCTCTCATATGCTCATTTTTTCCTGATTTTTACTCATTTTTTTAAAAATTGTTCCAAACTGCAACCCATTTTTAAGTTCAGTATTATCTTTACCATTTGTAGTTGACAATGGTTGATGGCTCCTCAATACATTTCTCATCAGATTGTACCCATTGTGTATTCTGAAGTAACAATGGGACAATTTGAAAGTCAAAACACAATCAGTCAGAATCAGCATGGTTTTACGAAAGGTAAATCACATCTCACTAGTTTGCTAGAGTTCTTCAAAGATGTAACAAGCAAAGTGGGTAATGGGGATCCTGTAAATGTAGTATATCCAGAGTTCCAGGAGGCATTTCATAATGCGGAAGGGTCACCGGACCTGAAACGTTAACTCTGTTTTTTCCTTCACAGATGCTGCCAGACCTACTGGGCTTTTCCAGCAACTTTGTTTTTGTTCCTGATTTACAGCATCCGCAGTTCTTTCCGGTTTTTATTTGGCATTTCATAAGGTATCGCACAAAAGTTTAACACGCCAGTTAAGATCACACACAGTCAGGGATAATACATTAGCTTGGACAGAGGACTGGCCAACTAAGAGAAAGCAAAGAGTTGGGATAAATGAATCTTTTTCTGGTTAGCAAACTGTAACCATTGGAGCGCCACAGGGTTTGGTCCTCAACTATTTACAATCTATATTAATGACTGAATGGAGGGATTGAATGTACGATAATCAAATTTTCAGATGACACTAAAATAGGTAGGAAAGTTATTGCAATGAAGAACTTAAAAATTTACAATGGGATATGAATAGGTTAGGTGAATGGGCCAAAATCTGGCAGATGATGTTTAACATGGATAGCTGAGAGGTTATCCATTTTGGTCGGAAGAATAAAAGTACAGAGAAGGTTCACTAGATTAATTCCAGAGATTAAAGGCTCATCTCATGAGAGATTGAGCAGTTAGCCTATGCTCACAAGAGTTTAAGAGGATGAGGGGGGGATCTAATTGAGGCATACAAGATGGTAAAGGGATTGATAAAATAGATATAGAGGAATTGCCCTAGAAGGAGAAACAATCTAGAATGAGAGGTCTTAATTTTAGGCTAAGGGGTGGCAGATTTAAAACAGAGATAAGAAGGAATTACTTCTCATAGGGTTGAGAGTCTGGAAAAATGTGCATGCTGGGATAGTATATAAATTTGAGGAGGAGATGGACAGATTTTTAAGTAGTAATGAATTAAAGGGTTATGGGGATTGGGCAGGAAAGTGGAATTGAGATGAGATCACCCACAATCATATTAAATGATGGAGCAGGCTCAAGGGGCTGAATTGCCTCGTCCTAATTATGTTCTTAAATGCATCTCAATTGACCTATCCCTTTATTCATTCATGGGATTTGGGAGCAGCGTTTGTTGCCCATCCCTAATTGACCAGGGGCTATATGACTATTTCAGAGAGTATTTTTCTGCGTCTGGAGTCAAATGGCTGTCAGAACAGGTAAGCATTGCAGATCTTGTTTCAAGGACATTTGTACTAGCTTTGTTTTTTTTTTAGAAAAGATACCAGATTTTTCAGTGAATTACAATTTTTTTACTGAATTCAAAATGTACCATGTGCCTTGGCAGGATTCGAATACAGGTCCCCAAGAATTAGCCTTACTCTCTGGATTACCAGTTCAATGATTACCACTACGTCACCACCTCCTTGTGAGTTCACAAGAGCTAGATCCACTTTCATGCTTGCATAATGACCCCTATGAAGTTTAAGATACTAGTCTTGGATGCACTCTACTCTCCTTCAACTAAATGCAAAATTCAATTGCATGCTGGTGACAAAGGGGTACTTTGACTATGAGGTCATTAATTAATCTCACCTCATTGCAAAATACTAGGTCTAGTATAGTTTGCTGTTTGGTTGGCTCCAGAACATGGTGTTCTAAGAAATTATCCCAAAAACAGTCTTTGAATCCCTTATCTAGGTCACCTTTGTTCATCCGACATTTTTAGTAGCACATAGATTACTATCCACAATGCTATCGCTGTACCAGTCTGACAAGCTCCCGTTATTTCATCCTGTTTACTATATCGTACCATCTATTTACTGATAGAGGCCTGTACAACACTCCCATAAGTTCCTTCTTGCTTTTATCTCTTCTCTTACATACTCGAACCACTTCTATATCCTGGATTCTTGCATTTGGGCCACCGTCTCTATAATGCTAATACTATCATTAATTAACAGAACCACACCTTCCTTTTCCTAGCTAGTTTTATAATTTTTTAACCACATTCATTGACTAGAATAATATTTATGCTGCTTCATTAACTGATAAAATTTGCAATTTTCTTCTTTCCAAAATTTCTACAAGCTGTTCTGGAAACATGTCCATTTTTGTAGAGAAGTACCGACATTTATTGCTTTAAGTAAACAACAGATAAGCCCAACAGATACACAATAAACCTGCACCTGGCTACACCTTTTCTAAGCAAGAATAGAGTCCAAGCTGTACAGCATAGTAACAGACACTTCAGTCCAGATATCCTAAACTTATCTAGTCCCATTTGTGAGCATTTGGCCTATATCCCTCTAAACCCTTCTTATTCACGTACCCAACCAGATGCCTTTTAAATGTTGTCATTGTATCAGCCTCCATCACTTCCTCTGGCAGCTCATTCCATACATGCACCACCCTCTGTGTGAAGAAGTCGCCTCTTAGGTCCCTTTCAAATCTTTCCCCTCTCACCTCAAACCTCTGCCCTCTGGTTTTGGACTCCCCTACTGCGGGAAAAGACCTTTTCTATTCACTCTATCCATGCCCCTCATGATTTTAAGGTCACCCCTTATCCTCTGCCACTCGAGAAAATAGTCCCAACCTATTCAGCTTCTCCTTATAGCTCAAACCCTCCAGTCCAAGCAACATCCTTGTAAATCTTTTCTGAACCCTTTCAAGTTTCACAACATCTCTCCTATAGCAGGGAGACCAGAATTGCACACGGTATTCCAAAAGTGACCTAATCAATGTCCTAAACAGCTGCAACATGACCTCTTCATCTGTCCGGCTACCTGTGAACATGTACACCCAGGCCCATTTGCTCTTGCAACTCCTTTTTAGAATTGTACCCCCTATTTTATATTATCTTTCAATGTTCCTCTGATCAAAAGTGCAACATTTCATACTTCTCTACATTGGATGCAGTCCAATGACCCATCTGTCCACTCCCCCAACTTGTCTACGACCTTTTGCCGTTCTTTACTGACCTGACAGCATACAGTTCTTCCAAATTACATGTCATCTGAAAACCTTGAAATGTATCAGGAAGATAAAGGGTCCCAATACTGGCCCCTGGGGATCTCTTCTACAAACCTTCCTCCAGCCTGAAAAATATCCACTTGATGATTATTCCATTTTTCAATCTCTCAGCTAATTTTGAATCCAAGTTGCTAAAGTTTCTTTTATTCCATGATCTATGACTTTCCTCAAATCTATTGTGTGGCACTGTATCAAACACCTTCTGCAAGTCCACAACACTGGGCTGATTTCCCCCCTCCCTGACCCAGGTTCAGTGCAGTGGAAACTCAGTTAGTGCTGGACAACCCCACTTCCCAGCAAGTTTTGTTCTCCAGCTGCTATTGTCAAAAGGCTCAGTGCTTGACCTGAACAAGTCACTTCTGTCAAAGGGACACCATTCGATGCTTCACTTCTATTGCTGGAGTGTCAGTTTTGATTGCAATTCCATCTATGTTGCTGTGCTTGAAAGGCATGGTGATAGAATCATAGAAATTTACAGTACAGAAGGTAGCCAATTTCCCACCATGTCTGTGTGGGCTGAAAAATAGCTGTCTAGTCAAATGCAACTTTCAATAGTACAGAGTTCCAAGACTGAAAATTTGTGAATAGTTACTGGGGACACGATACAATCTGGGAAAAGACAGGACCCAGGCATTTACTGAGGCACCACATACCAGTTCAATAGACTGGATAAATTGCTAGCACAAGTTTATAGGTCAGATAAGAGTGGCACTTATGGATCAGTGGTGGTGTCCCCATCTCTGGGCAAGAAGACTTGGGTTCAAATCCCACCTGCTCTAGAGCTGTGTCATAACATCTCTGAATAAGATGATTAAAAATACAGTGAACGTTTGATTAACCGGCACCCTATGGGACCAGAAGTGTATTGGTTGATCAAATATTCTGGTTGATCAAGAGATCCACATAATGACTGCAAAAACACAGTAAGTAAAGAGGGGGTATACACAGTTATACCTTACTTACAGCATAAATCACTTAAATAATAATGCAACTTTGCCTTAAATAAAACTTACCAGCAGAGAGGCTTTTAACTTCCACCCTCAACTGAATACTCAAATATCAAGGAGATTGCAATAATACAGTAAACTTCTGATATTTCAGCTACATAACTTTTGCCAGTGTAACCAGAATGTCAATTCATAAGGTCCTGGTTAAAACAATGTTTGCTGTATCTAATAGATCAGACAAAGTTGATGTGTTGAATTTAGCTGGGGACCACAGGTGACGTTACACAACAGACATCAATCTTAAGCAGGCTACAATTGAACTGTCACAGCCAAAACAGATGATAGCCACATATCTGGACTTGCGATTCACTACAGTTAGGAGTTTGGTGCACACAGAGAAAGAATTGTAGCCCAATTATACAATCTACAGAAGTTCATCTACTAATTCTGCCTACCTTTCAGAAAGCCTAACTTATAGACAAACAAAAAGGGAAACACAATCAAAACGACCTAGCCACAGTTTTGTGAAGCTGACAGATTTTTCAATTAAATAAAACACAGATGTAAAAATGAAGGGAAATGCACACAAATTAACACCCTCTTACAAAGAGATCAGGAGATGTTGACTCAAATCTCTTTTCTGAATCAACACTCTGGCTTCCACATATGCCTGCACCAACATGACCTGCAAAGAACTACAATTTATCAGCAAAGCTGATTAATTTGAAACAAATTCCATTATTTCCTGGTGTTTTTTTTTTGGGTCATTAAGGACTGAAATGTCAGTGCCATACAGTCAGCCTATCCCAGCTTTGAGATGATTTGTACATGTTTCAACTAGACTATTACACATTAGATGGTCTGCAAAACAACATCTGGCCAAAAATATCAGACAGCAAATCTACAGCAGGATTGCTCAAGGACACTTTGCAGAAGACCAGAATCCCATGTACAACTAAATTAGTGAGCAGGTATCTGTGATACCCCAAACAGTGCAAACACATTAGCAATCACAATATCTAAAGAATGAGAAATCAGTGATTATGTTGAGAGTTTTCCCTATTGCTTCCTGTGCATACAAAAGCTATAACATTTGAGTATATATAATATTGGCAGCAGGATATATATAATGCTGAGACATTGTTGCAGTGTAATATTTTGAATTGTTCTGAAGAGTGATATTGGACTGAAAACATAAGCTCTTTCTCACTCCACAGATGCTGCCAGGCCCACGGAGTTTCTCCAGTACGTACTGTTTTTATTTCAGATCTTCAGCATCTGATGTTTACCAACCCCAGCCAAATCCCACTCTCTCCCAGCAGACTGGCACCAACCCCAGCCAAATGTCACTCTTTATAGCTGCACCAACGCCAAACTTGTCCCTCTCTGCTGGTTCCTAGTCTATGACCGTGACCTACAACCCAACAGGTTTCCCTGCAGCGGCTCAGACCAGCTGGCCAGGCCCTGCCAACGAGGCTCTGAGAGTCCGCTGCGGCAAGTGACAACCCCTTTCCCTCATACCACGGCGATGCCGCTGAAAGCCCACTCTCCCCAGCCCGGGGCTGTTGTCTCTCTCAACGTCCCCACTGAGGCCGAGCCAAAAGCCGCTCTTTACCTCAGTAACCCCGGTTCTCCGCTCACACCGCAGAGTCCCGGCTCACCTCGCACCGCCCTCGCGGGACCGCTGACGTCAGTACGCCGCGGCACCGCGTGCGCGCGCGTGTCCGCCGCGCCGTGACGTCACCGCTACGCACGACGTGTGCGCCGCCGGCACCCAGAACCGGAAGCTGCCCCCTTTCTCGGCCAAAGTGGGAACTTGTCAACATCATGGGGACACTTTATTTGGCATCCAACGTAACGTACCGGATTTAAGGGGCGCAGACGCCCACTCGTCTGAAACGGAGAAAGAGAAATTGCCAGCAATATCCGGGAATCGGGTAACGGCTGATTTCCGGGAGGTGGTACCACGTGGTTGCTGGGGCCTGACCTGTTGTTGAACAGGCCCCGCCTGAGCTCCTCACACATACACGCCCACGCACACATGGACAGAGTGAAACACTGGCAATCCTAAACAAAGGCATAAAATACTGCTCAGATGTCTGTGGAGGTAGCAGCACGGTTAATGGTGGCTGTTCTTGATCTATGGCCCAGACTCAGATGTGGTGTGCAGGTGCCCATGTTGGACTGGGTTGGACAAGGTCAGAAATCACACGGCACCAGGTTATAATCCAGATTCCTTTCCAGTCATTGTCCTGAGATAATTAAAGGTTTTATCAGTGTATACAAGGGATGACATCTCAGGTCAGACAATGCATTTTAGGTGTGAAGTCTTGCTTAGAATCCGTCTATGTTTTAAGCTGGGGTCTGGTTTTTTTTGAGCAAAACAGAATGTATCTGCAACTATATAAACATCTTGGATGAAATAATTTATGTGTCCATGTCTGTGTGAAAGAGAGAGAAAGAGAGCATGTGCGTGTGTGTGTGTGTGTATGAGGGAGTGTATGGATATAAGAGAGAGTGTGCGTGTATGTATGTGGGAGTTTACAGTGTGGTGGGATCGCATATAGTGCGACATGAACCCAAGATCACGACTGAGGCTGTCCTCATGGATATAGAACTTGGCTAACAGCCTCTGCTCAGCAATTTTGCATTGTTGGGTATCACAAAGTCCACCTTGGAGGATGCTTACGTGAAGATCTGAGGCTAAATGTCCTTGATCCCTGAAGTGTTACCCCACTGGGAGGGAACATCCCCGTCCAGTGAGCATTGCACGATGTCTATTCATCTGTTTTTGTAGCATCTGCATGGTCTCACCAATATCCCATGCCTCAGGGCATCCTTGCCTGCATCATATGAGGTAGACAACATTGGCCAAGTCAAATGAGTATCTGCTGTGTCCATGGTGGCTGGTGTTCCCTCGTGTGACGATAGCATCCATGTCGATGATCTGACGTGTGTTGCAGAGGTTGCCATGGCAGGGTTGTGTGGTGTTGTGGCCGATGTCGTTCTGAAGGCTGGGTAGATTGCTGCGAACAATGGTCTGTTTAAGGTTTGGCGGTTGTTTGAAGGCGAGAAGTGGAGGCGTAGGGAACATAGTGGTGAGGTACTCATCGTCGTCGAAAATGTATTGAAGGCTACGAAGAACATGGTGTAGTTTCTCCACTCCGGGGAAGTACTGGACGACGAAGAGTACCCTATCAGTCATATCTTGTGTCTGTCATCTGAGGAGGTCATTACGGGTTTTTTACTGTGGCATGATGGAATTGGCAATCGATGAGTTGAGCATCATATCCTGTTCCTATGAGGACATCCTTTAGCACACACATGCACACTTGCACATACCATCTCACACACACTCCCACACACATATACTCCCTCACAGTCTCTCAAGCACGTACACATACACACACATGAATTATTTCATCCAACATGTTTATATAGTTGCAGATACATTCTGTTTTGCTCAAAAAAAAACTGACCCCAGCTTAAAACATAGACAAATTCTAAGCAAGACCTCACACCTAAAATGCATTGTCTGACCTGAAATGTCACCCCTTGTATACATTGATACAACCTTTAATTATCTCAGGACAATGAATGGAAAGGAATCTGGATTTAGCATTTAGAGATAGGTGGATGCAGGTAGGGGGTTATTGTGGTTGGTAAGTGGGAATGATGGGGTGAATAGGTGAGTCGGAAGACAGACAGGTTGGGCGTGGAGAGATTTTGAAGCTGGTGAAGTCAATATTTAGGCCATTGGGCTGTAAGCTCCCAAGGTGAAATATGAGGTGTTGTTCCTCCAGTTTAGGTTTGACCTCACTCTGACAGTAGAGGAGGCCAAAGATGGACATGTCACCAGGGGAGTGGGAGGGAGGGCTAAAGTGGACAGCAACTGGAAGGTGCATGCAGGGAGCAAGTGTTCCGTGAACCAGTCCCCGAGTCTGCATTTGGTCTCCCCAGTATAGAGGAGACGACATTGGGAGCAATGGAAACAGTAGATGAGGTTAGATTAAGTGCAGGTGAATCTCTGCTGGATTTGGAAAGATTGTTTGGGGCCTTGGACGGAGGGGCGATGTGGGGGCAGGTGTAGCACCTCCTGTGGTTGCAGGGAAAGGTACCGGATGTGGTGGGGAGTGTGGAGCTGATGAGGGAGTCACTGAGTGGATGGTATCTGCGGAAAGTGGACGGGGTGGGGAGGGGAATATCGTAGTGGGATCTGATTGTAGATGGTGGAAATGTCGGAGGATGATGCATTGTATTTGGATGTTGATGAGCTTGTATGTGAGGACTAAGTGGACTCCATCCTTCTTCTTGGGGGGAGAGGGTTTGAGGGTAGAAGTGCGCAAAAGGGGGAGATGTGGTTGAGGGCATCCTTAATAATAGAGGGGTGGAAACTATGGTCCCTAAAGTAGGAGGATATCTGCGATGTCCTGGAGTAAAATGCCTCATCCTGGGAGCAGATGCGGTGGAGGCAGAGGAATTGTGAGTATGGGATAGCATTTTTGCAGGAGGGTGGGTGAGAGGAGGTGTAGTCGAGATAATTGTGGGAATCAGTGGGTTTGAAATGGATGTCAGTGGTGATTTGGTTACCAGAGATGGAGACGGAGAGGTCCAGGAAGGGGAGGGAGGTGTCAGAAATGGTCCCAGGGTGAATTTGAGGGCACAGTGGAAGGTGCTGGTGAACTTGATAAACTGTTCAAGTTCCTCACGGGAGCACAAGGCAGCACCTATACAGTCATCAATGTAGCAGAGGAAGAGGTGAGGGATGGTGCCAGCATATTGATTGATTTTATTGTCATGTGTACCGAAAACAGTGAAAAGCTTTGCTTACGAGTGGCACAGGCAGATCACAGCAAGCAAAGGATGTACAAATCAAAAAGACTTAGAGGCATACAGGTTACATTGCAGGTTACATTATTTGAGGCTAAAGTCCATTCAACATTCTGATAACGGCCGGAAAGTAGCTGTTCCTGAACCTGCTTGTGCGTGTGTTCAGGTTTCTGTATCTTCTGCCTGACAGAAGAGGTTGTAGGAGGTCATTACCAGAGTGCAATGGGTCTTTGATGATGTTGGCCGCCTTTCCGCAGCAGCGAGCTGTGTAAATGGAGTCCATGGATGGCAGGTTGGCTTCTGTGATGGTCTGGGCTGTGCGTACCACCTTCTATAGTTTCTTACAGTCCTGGGCAGAGCAGTTGCCATGCCAGGCCATTATGCACCCGGACAGTATGCTTTCAATGGTGCATCTGTAGAAGTTCGTGAGGGACCTTATGGGCATGCTGAATTTCATGAGCCATCTGAGGAAGAAGAGGCGTTGTTGTGCCTTCTTGACTGTCGCATTTACTTGGGAAGTCCAGGACAGGTTGTCAGTTATCGTCACTCCGAGGATCTTGATGCTCTTCACTCTCTCAACCCCACTTCCGTTGATGTAGATGAGGACATGTTCTCCTGCTTTCTTTCTGAAGTTGATGATCAGTTCTTTAGTTTTGCTGATGTTGAGAGACAGATTGTCTTCATTGCACCACGTCACCAAGCCCTCTATCTCCCTTCTGTATTTGGACTCGTCATTGAGGTTGGTTGGCTCGCCGAGCTGATTTGTTGTTTCGCAGAAGTTTTGTTACCATGCTGGGTAACATCATCAGTGCAACCTCTGATGGAGCGTCGGTGTGTTTTCCCGCCTGGTTTTTAAACTCTGGAGTCCGTTGAGCTGGATTGCCTCACTTCCGGTTTCCCATCGTAGTGGAGTGTATATGGGATCGAGTTCTATGTGTTTATTAATAGCATGCTTCGTGGAGTGCCAGGCTTCTAGGAATTCCCGTGCCTGTCTCTGCTTAGCTTGTCCCAGGATTTTGGTGCTGTCCCAGTCAAATTGGTGGTTGTCCTTGTCCATGTGGATTGAGATGAGTGAGTATTGGTCGTGTCTTTTTGTAGCCAGTTGGTGTTCGTGTACCCTTGTTGTTTGTCTGATGTAGTGTTTCTCTCAGTCTCTGCAGGGGATCTTGTAGATGACATTGGTCCTGTCCATGGTGGGGAGGGGGTCTTTTGTTCGGGTGAGCAGTTGTCGTAGGGTTGATGTGGGCTTGTGTGCCACTCTGATGCCCAGCGGTCGTAGGAGTCTTGTTGTTAGTTCCGATGTGTTCCTGATGTAGGGTAGTGTGATGAGTGTGTCGGGGCGTGTACTATCTTCCTGATGTTGTTCATACAGGCATCTTCTGACCCAGTTTTTTGGATATCCATTATCCTTGAAAATCTGGAAGAGGTATTCCTCCTCCTCTTGGCGTAGTTCTGTGTTGCTGCAGTGTGTTGTTGCCCGTTTAAATAGTGTTCGCACACAGCTTCATTTGTGTGTGTTGGGATGGTTACTGGTGAAGTTCAGTACCTGGTCCGTGTGTGTGGCTTTTCTGTGTACTTTCGTTTGGAGTTCCCCATTTGTCTTGCACTCTACCATGACGTCCAGGAATGGGAGCTGTTTGTTCTTCTCCTCCTCTCTGGTGAATTTTATTCTGGTGAGGGTGTTGTTTATAAGTTTGTGTGCCTCCTCTAGTTTGGTCCGTTTAATGATGACAAAGATGTCGTCCTCGTAGCGTATCCATAGTTTTGGTTGGATTAGCAGAAGGGCCGTGCTTTCTCGTCTTTGCATCACTGCCTCTGCTATGATTCCGGAGATAGGTGATTTCATGGGTGTTCCGTTGATTTGTTCACATGTTTGGCCATTGAAGGTGAAGTGGGTGGTGAGGCATAGGTCCAGTAGTTTGAGCATGTTGTCTGTGGAGATG